ATCCTAAAAATTACTCAATATCTGCCGAATCACATTATTGAATGACGCAATTCTTTCCAAAATCCGAAATGAAATTTTGGGTTTGAATTTTCATTCCACATTAATGAGTTATGAACCAAAAATAATAATATTCAATGGAGTTCCTAATGCAATCATGTTCATGGTGGCGATCGTAGAGTGTTGAATGGTATGGAAAAGTTTGACATTGAATTTGGAATATTTCATTGCTTTGTTTTGATTGTATAATATTATTCAAGTGATTTGGTTTTGTTATTTGTTTCCACATATGGGTTTGTATGATGGGAATGTTTTACCAACCCATAACATAACAAGGATTTTATATAATTGTGAGATCTTGATTGACATGAATCTAAATCGAAACTTCTCGTTTAGAGGTGTTTTGTTTATCGACATATTATAATACGTGTATATGAGCGACTACAAATAAATTATTAAAGTCCATATGAATCCATGACTGATTACATAACGATATTATTTTTCCATTTTGAATGTTTTGATTCAAAAACTTATTTAAACTAACAAACTTATATTTTGGTCAATCATGATCACTTTTTCTTAGGTCTAGTGTGTGCTGCTGCTAGGGATATTCTTATTATATATTTACCATCTTGTTCGTGTACGTTATATATACATATCATGAAATAAGATGCATGAAATTTTGGTATCATGAATTAATGAGAAATTTATGACAATTTGCTAATCATTAATACTAGGCGCATCAACTAGTGAATCTCTTGTTTTGAGAAACTATGAGCTTGCATTGCAGCCGCCGCCCCCTCTGGGGTGGGTGGCTTCTCCATCTTCTATCTTTCTATCCTCATCTCCCTTTCTCCTTTCCTAGTTTTCTTTCCCTCTCCTCCTCTCCCCAAATTTGTTTGGATTTTGGGTCCTCTTGCTCAGATCTATTCGGATCTTGTCTTTTGTTTGTTTATTTGTGTGTTTGCTGTTGTAGGTCCTTGGTGACTTTTGTTGTTCTTGGATGTGTCTTGCTGTCGCTGGGATGGCTGTGATTGTGGTGTTGTCGACCCAGTTTTTTTCTTTGGTTTTGTTGTGTTTTTGAAGTAAGTACTGCAATCCACCGTAGACACCATGATTTTGTTGCAGCTTTTGGTTACCTCACATGGATTTTGCTCCAATTTAGTGTTTGGAGTTGGAAAAGTGATTGTTGCCAGTTTGTGTGGGATCAGGTTTTGCCTGTGCAAAATAAGAGGTTTAGCCATGTTAGTGTTATCAGTCTCTTTGATTTGTTGAAGAGGATGTGGTTGGTGCGGTTGTGGAGGCAGACAGAGAATAGGACGTCTGGGGTGGGGGTGGGCCGGGAAGGGGGAGAGAGAAGGAAATGTTTATTTTTTTATTATTATTTATTATTTTGTTTTAAATACTTAAAAAAATTTAAAAATAAATAATTAACCATAGTTATACTTGCTCATGGACATGTGTCAAGTTTTTAAAAGGGCGGTGAGAGTTCACTTTGGGTTAAAGTGGTGAGTAAAAATTCTCCCCTGAAAGAATATACGTGGGAAATCAAATAATATAACATTCCTAAACTAAAGGATAATCTTTGATTCTCAAAACCTGAGCATTGCAAGGGTTTAATGATCATTAAAAGCTTATTTCTGAATTGACAAATAGACGAGAGTTGAAGCTTTAAAAATAGTCTTAGAAAATGCACTTCACACATCCATTTTCAATAATAAAAAGATGTAGTAAGGCACATACCACGTCTATTTTTGCAAAGCAATCGACGTAGTAAGAGTAATACCACGTCTATTAGTTAAAAAAAAAGATGTGGTATAACACTTACTACATCGCTTTTTAAGATATAGACGTAAAAAGTTGTTTCATACTTCGACTTTTCTTCCAATTGAACTCGAACAACGTTGCTGGATTATCTCAAATCACGACGGTCTTTAAACGAAGTGATGGTTTCTTGTCACGAATAAATATGGTTTAATCATTTATGAAAGGCATAAAACGACGCCGTAGAACCCAAAAAACAATTAGTGAGCAAAGACTCCTCTATTGAAACCACGACTAAGAAACATCAAAAAACTTATTTGGTACACTAATTATCTTGCCAAAAAGCATTGCTATGTGACACAAAGTTAGCTTCACGATACACACGAACCAATTATAGATGTCGGCATTGAGAAAGTAAAAATGGAATATCTCAAACAAGTGATGTAATTCACCATGCTAGGAAGCATGTTTAGTGAGAATATTATGGTGATTCGATTCGTTTTTAACCAATCCTGAAATGGGTATTGGAGTTATCTTTGATTCATGACTTTTCTTTGCCTATAATAACACATGAATGTTTGAATTATTCCGATTCTTGATTTCCCATGCGTTTACATTGCAATAAGTCGATATTTCGTAAATATGAAGTACTAATATATCCATGAAATTTTGTGTGAGGGGTAGCTATTGGTGGGCTTCTACAAAGCCCAACTGCCCATCAAAAAACCCACTAGCCCTTCAAATCAAACCCAGGATTTGCTTGGCAGCTCATTACCCAGGCTTAGCTCACCCGTGAACCTCCCTTGTTGGGTTCTTCACCTGTCGTCGCCTTCTTCAGCTGAATCAGTTGTTTGTTCTTTCACAGTGAAAGTCTCACACATTCCTACCCACCTACCTTCCCAGCTTGGCAGTTTCAGCTCAATCTTTCATCCTTGCGTTGCCTCCAAAGTGCCAAAAAGGTATTTCTTCTTTGGCATCGTAGTTTTCCATTTCTTAGTCTTCGTTTATACTCTCAAAGTGAGAGTAAGCTTTTTCTTTTTGTTGTTGTTTTTGTTGCCTTTATATGTATACAGGTATATCAGTTTCAGTATAACGATTATATTTATAATTTTCAATGAAGTATCAAGATTTCAGCAAGCAAAATTAGTCGAACTACTAAAAACTTAAGGTTTCCAGACAGTGGGCAGCTGCCTACTCCCTTCTCTCATAAGAGCATTTCCGCCCATTTACCATGGCAAAGGGCAAGGGGAGGCAAGGGCTATTACTGTTGACGTGAATAGTGGCAGC